TCTGTGTAAATGCTAAAATAATGTACTGGCTCAAAATATCATGGAGGCAAATGGGTTAATTGGCTGGATATAAAATTTAAAATTTACATAAATCCATGACGTTTTCTATGACGAAAACCAATATCCATGTAGGCAGCCACGTCATTCCAATAGGTCAATCCAAAATACTACGTGGCACTTGTCTGTGATGGCCTATTCTGTCACAAACGCTCGGGCCTAGTTTGGGCTGTGCGGGCCTGGGGGTAGACCTGTGACGGTCAAGTACCGTCATGGACGGTGTGGCGTGAAATTATGATGTGATATACATGACGGATCTCGAATCCATCATGCTTGACCATCCTTGACAGATTTTCACTGCGCTATGACGGATTGGAACCGTCATGTATTAACATATTTCTTGTAGTGAACAATGTTCTCGTCACAAAACCATCGGAACGATTCCAAGATACCTGCGTGATCCTAATTTTTTTTAGTAAATTTGAGAAGAGAAGAGTCAAAACTCTACGTCAGGATGCCTCACCAGAGCGACGAAGGAACTGAGGAGTAAAAAGAATCCTACTCTCTGATATATATAATCCTAAAGGACTCAAAACATTTTTCTAGACTCAACAACGCCAGCGATTCGATCAAGCAGGGGGCTCCTAAGTCGGGGAAGGCTCTGATTACCAACTTGTAACGCCCACGATGCGGCTATATCTCCCACGTGTCGAAGCACGACTTAGAGGCATAGCCGCATTGTAAGCAATGTCGCAAGAGGGGTAATCTTTACACATCCCATGTACTGAATAAGGAAAGAGATACATAGTTGGCTTACAATCGCCACTTCACACAATATATGAGTAAAGCATTACAACATCCAGATACAATCAAGGTCCGACTACGGAACCAAAATAGAAGAAGACCACCCCTAATGCTACAGATCCCCGATCGCCCCAACTGGGCTCCACTACTGATCAACTGGAAACGGAACAACATAACGAACACGGACTTGGTCGAGCTCCTCCTTGAGCTTGGTTGCGTCACCTGCACGATATCATCGGCACCTGCAAGCTGGTTTGGAAGTAATATGTGAGTCATGGGGACTCCGCAATCTCACACCCTCGCGATCAAGACTATTTAAACTTGTCTCCCGGCTCTACCCAAAGCAAGAACACAAGCAAAGGGAACAAAAATCAACCACGCTACAATGCGCAAGCAGCATGATGCAACACATGACATGATATGCGGGATGCGATATGCAATGCATATGCATGCTTTGGAAAGGAAAGATTGAACCTCGCCTCAACTTGGAAAAACAAGAGTGCCGCTGGAAAGATGAGTTGATTTCGGTCGAAATCGATATAAAGATCACCGGAATTGGATGCACGGTTTGGAAATGACAAGCAAAACAAATATGGCACAAAGCTACGATTAACAACACGAGGCCATCTAAATGCATCAAGAACAACAAGCTACTGCACTCAAACATAACAACAAAATGCATGGAAGTGATCCACTCAAGATGCTTGACAAAAGATGAACACTGAGCTACGGCTAATTCACTCAATAGCAGGTTCAAACAAGCATGGCAAAAGTGCAAAAGGTATCAGGTTACAGACTTAGTGAAATAAACAACATGCCAGGAATTAACATCAGGAAGCAATGTTTAGAGTAAGATAACAACATGCTACAGAAACATATCATGGCAAAGCAAGGCATGGCATGAAAGTACTCAAATCATACAACAAAAGTCCTTTACTGACCATAAGCCAAAAGGGATCAGAAAATACAATGGCAACCATGTGAACATAGCAATTATCGTTAACAGATTCAGACTTAGAAGAAAACTGGAACATGGCAAAACAGATATCAAGTAGGCATGTTTGCGAGCTCGATGCACTCACCACAAGGCATTACATGACAAACTAGGCATACACCCAGCAAGTAGACATGGCATTGAAGCTAAACATGGCAAGAACAACAACATAACATGCATGGATCAACTACAACAACCTCGGCAAAAAAGCTAAACACGTAAACATTCTGCCAGGAACATTTTATAGCAAAAGTAGAGCTCGATTGACTCAAGCTAGAGTGCTCCATAAATGCAAACAAAGACATGGATTGATAGAGGACTACAATATCTACAAAACATCCTTACTGATCATGCTCAAAAGAAGCATGGATCACTCTGTACCAACATGAATACATGGCATAAAAATAACAGCAGGAAAAGGACTTAGTGAAATTCTAAGTCCCTGAAATCAGCAACATCACGAGAGCTACTTTGCATGCTTGTGCTAGTCACCACAAAGATCACAAAAATACATGGCATACACCCCTGTAAAGATGGCATGTCATACTTCAAAACACATGTAGGGCTCAAGATCATAGGAGGCACACATTAATCATGGCAAAAATGACAAATGTCCAATTACTGATATGGATCTGAAACTAATATAAACTAGCACTCTTGCAATGGCATTTAGGGCATCAAGATAAACTCAAATGAACATGATGTAATGAGATGAAATGAAGTACTTGTTGAGATGAACAATTCGATATGCTACACGCCCAAAACGGAGCGACGGGTGCAAAGTTATGATGCGATGAAGAAAGCTAAAAATGCTGGGGACTTGGTGGAATTTTACCCTCCGGAAACTGGATGGTGTGGTTCCGGATCGCGTTAGGTTCACTGGGTGCGGGACGAGGTAGATCTGGCCGGGCGTGGACGGAGGGATCCCGGTCGGAGGTTGAAGAAGGTCAAGCTGCACGGCGGCGCTCGGGCTCCGGGGACGAGGGGAGATGGCGGGCAGGCGCAGATCCAGGAGCGGGGACTCCATTCCCGCCGACGAGGATGCTTGGGGCGGCCCGGGCGCGGAGATCCCTGACGGCCATGGAGGGGCGGCTCCTTGGGAAGCAACAGAGAGAGAGAGGGAGCAAGGGAAAATGACAGATGGCGTGGGGGGCGGCGTGACCTGAGGACAGCGACGGTGGCGGAGCAGTCCGGCGAGGTGCGGGGCGAAGCGGGAGGAGCACCGGGGAGTGGGCGGCGCTCGGGCGAGCACGGGCTGCTCGGGGCGCGAGGCAGATGGGCGGCGGCGCGACGAGATGGGCCCCGCGGGCCCGATCCGGGCCGCGTGGCCCGGCGGCGGGGCTGGAGGAGAGAGAGGCCGGCGACGATGACGTGTCGCGCCCGGATTCGTCCGGCGCGGCGGCTGGACGCGTCCGGTCTGGGACGGACATGTCTGGCGACGCGAGGAAGAGGGAGGCTAGGGTTCGTCCGCGAATTTTCTAGAGGGAGCTAGGAGACTCCAAATGAGGAGCGGTTTTCGTTCACGCGATCGTGATCGAACGACCGAGATGATAGAGGGGGTTTATGTGGGTTTTGGGCCACTTTGGAGGGGTGTTGGGCTGCAACACACACGAGGCCTTTACGGTCCCTCGGTTAACCGTTGGAGTATCAAACGAAGTCCAAATGGCACGAAACTTGACAGGCGGTCTACCGGTAGTAAACCAAGTCCGCATGACAAGTCTTGGTCCAATCCGAGAACATTTAACACCCGCACACGAAAAAGAGGCAAAAGGGGACACCGGATGACATAGAGGCGCCAAAATGCAAAATGGACAACGGGGAAAATGCTCAAATGCATGAGACGAACATGTATGCAAATGCGATGCACATGATGACATGACATGATATGCATGACACGCAAGCAAATGACAAGGCAACAACAGCAAATAACTGGAAGACACTTGGCACATCGGTCTCGGGGCGTTACAAATACTTGGTGAGGTACCAAGATGTTGACCTTGTAAGGTGGACTTCGAAGCCACCGGCACCTTCATTGCCATCTGATCTTGATCAGGTAATCGCTGAAATGAGCGTGAGTGTGGTTTCTCTTCCTTCTCATACGGGATCAACACATATAAGTGATGGATATCCGACACAATGAGAAGTGCTTTGGGGTACCAATTCAGGTACTCATCGAGGGCAAAATCCTCATGCGCGGGCGGCGACGCATAATAACAACGATCCTCCTCGGCAATGAGGGCAACCTCCTCCTCCGCTCGCTCCTCCTCAAACGTCCACACCTTCTCCTTCGAGATTGGCACCCAGTCCACCCGCAGAGGAACCGTCACCCAAAGCGGCACCTGGTTTATAGAGTTGCCCCCGAACACGTTGTCGTGCGCCGAGGATTACTTCTTTGGCCCTCGCGGTGGCCGGTGGTGTGGTGATGTGTGACGATCGGTGGATGGGTGGGAGAGGATGAGGAGTGCGGGTATGATCTGCGGAGGAGGAGGAGTCCGCCAAGTAGGCCTCTCAGTCGTCATGCTGCATGAATGCGGGCAGGCGGAAAACCGACGTGAATGAGGTATCGGAGTCCAACATGGGCATGGTCATCGGAGTCCAACATGGTACGGCGGTAGATGTCGAAACTCCACCAAATCTGCTCAGTGTGATGCTGGTTTGCAGGATTTCACAGGTCCAGTCTGATGCAACGGCCGCTACGGCGACGACGTGCACGCTGGCCAACGTAAACCGGTGAGAAGCTGAGCATCGTCTTCATGCTCTGCAACATGGGTCTGGCCTGCTACGGCATCCCACAGCGCGTGATTGCAGGTGAAAGAAACGGCCGTGATATTCATAGTTCTGCTCGCCGGCGATGTCTACGACGAAGTCAGCCGGCAAGCCGCTCTTTCTGCAACTGCAAGGCGTCGCAGCCAGGCCACTGTCGATCGACCGACCCGCCCGTGAGCGTTTCCGCCACGTCATCGATCCGCGTCAAAGCGCATCCGGTCCGTCCATCCACACACAGCGACGAACGGCTGAAACTAACCCAAAGGCATCGATCCGCGGCATCCCATCTCCACCAATCACAGCCCACCTTCTTCCTCCGTCCCACTCTATATAACAAATCGCGCCGCCCGATCCGCCTCCACACACCTCAGCATCCGCAGCCCCCCAGCCCACACCTTCGCACAAAGCTCCACCTCCTCCCCACACCGTCGAAGCACCCATGGCGCCTAAGGCGGAGAAGAAGCCGGCGCTGGAGAAGACCCCGGCGGGGAAGAAGCCCGCGGCGGAGAAGAGGCCCGCGGCCGGGAAGACGGCGTCCAAGGAGGGCGGCGAGAAGAAGGGGAAGAAGAAGGCCAAGAAGAGCGTGGAGACGTACAAGATCTACATCTTCAAGGTGCTCAAGCAGGTGCACCCCGACATCGGCATCTCCTCCAAGGCCATGTCCATCATGAACTCCTTCATCAACGACATCTTCGAGAAGCTCGCCGGCGAGTCCGCCAAGCTGGCCCGCTACAACAAGAAGCCCACCATCACGTCAAGGGAGATCCAGACCTCCGTCCGCCTCGTCCTCCCCGGCGAGCTCGCCAAGCACGCCGTCTCCGAGGGCACCAAGGCCGTCACCAAGTTCACCTCCTCCTAGGCGTCTTCCTCGTTTCATGAGCTGTTGGCGGCGTTCTGTGTGTAGTTAGCAGTGCGATGTTACAATCTCTGTAAGAATTGTGCTGCTTGTTGGTTTGAAGAATTAGTGATGTTGCTGTCTGAATTATTGTTCAACGCGTGCTTGTATTATTCAGTTTTGGTTGGAAGGTTCTTCTGTACGCCCTGCCACTTCTCATTTTTGTGCAGTCTGAATCTGGCTCTGTAGTTCGTAGGTCTGCAGGTACATTCATGATTTTGCAGTTGTTTACAGTAGATGTTATCAGGTTTATCATTTAGGCGTCATACTGAATTTTTCAACCTCTACGGTTGCTGCCATTCGAGTAAATCTGAAGTTGGCCAGCTTTGTTAATTTTTGACGTGGTCATCCTTTTTTCTCATTGGACTTGTCATCCATCAAGAACATGTCTGAAAAACTGGAATATGTTTGATTCAGAGAAACGGATACTTTCTGCAAATTTTCAGAGAAATTAGATGCTTTCTGCAAAAAAGAGGAGATAAGCTAGAAGCATTGTGCCCATGTTTTACAGAGGCAAGGAACATGCCAGATGCAACCAACACTTTGTGATGGCACACAATTTTTTTGATAATTGTTGCTATTGAGACACCTGAGTTTTTTTTCTTTATGTTTATATTACACTAGGTAATTTTCTTTATACTATACTAGGTAATTAGTGAAAATAAAGCTACCAATTTTGTGAAGGTGTGAAGTGAATCTAATGATTCATTTCTGTATGTTTATGTACCTTTGTATGGATATATACATTCTAACTTACTTGCATTGGCAATAGCCATTTGCTGTCCATTTGATATGCACCAACTGCACATTCTTCATCTTTGGGTATGGGAGCGGTTCATGTTCGTGTTTCGATGACGCTATTATGGACTTGTTTGGATTAGGCCGGTGCTGACCGTGCCAACCGCGGGCACGCCATTAATTGGTGACCAATTTTGTCGCCCGTGCCTCACTGAAAGATTGGCATGAAAATGAACTACAAGGGTTGGGGAAGGGTGCATACCTGGCCAAACGGGCCGGCCCGGCACGGCACGGCTCGACCTGTGCTAATCGTGCCTGGCCTGGCACGGCCCGCCATGGCACGTTTAATAGCCGGGCCGTGTCGTGCCGGCCCACGGGCGCTGCTCCTTGGCCCAGGCACGACCTGATTAGTAAACGGGCCGGCCTGATGGCCCGTTTAGCACGCTGGGCTGCACATATTTAGCTTGTTGGGCTGTTATTTAGGCCTATTGGGCTATATTTTAGGTATAAATATATAAAAAAATCTGAAAATTATATAAAAATATTAAACGGGCCGTGTCGTGCCGGCCCGCGTGCCCAGACTCCAGGCCTAGGCACGGCCCAAGGCATGTCGCGTGCCGGGCACAGCCCGTTTAGCCCGTGCTGTGCCTGGCCCATAGCGGGCCGTGCCGGCGTGCTTGCGGGCTGGCCTGTTTGGCCCGGCCCGTTTGGCCAGCTATAGAAGGGTGGACGCACCAATTATTTGGTGCTCATCCAAACAGGTACCCAAAGCCTCGTCAATGCCAATTTTTTGGCCGGGCGTTCGAGAGCATCGATCCAAACATGCTCTATCTTTTAAGAGTTGTGCTGTGTTATTATGAAGAAATAGAATTGTTACTGCTTAAATTAATTTTCAAGGTTTGTAATTTGACATCAGATTCGTTGCATATAAATCTTTCCTGTTTGTAGTTTGATTTCTATAGTTAAATCGTGATTTGTGCTGCTGTTCAGGCTTTGTTAGCTTTCTCATATGTCTATTAATTTTGGTGCCATATCAAAATTTCAAACCTCTACTGTGGTGGCGCCATCTCAAAGCACTTGGGCATCCGGTTGCGGTAGCTTGGAGGACTTCATACTTTTGGAGGGTGCAACAGACACTGCCAACAACAGAGGCATTTGAGTTGTGACTGTAATTGATGGGCACTCAATGACTCAAACCTTGTGGACGTCATGGTGATATGATCAGTTCGATGGAATATTTGGAGATAATTGCTGGGTGAATACAATGCACCTCAAATTAGGTTGTTTTAGCAGTCGAATGAAGCTCAGGTGTACAATGCACCTGCTCAATGTAGCAATGTGTGGCTCCAGTTCGCTGAGGTATGTTAGGCACCCCAAACATAATATCATTCTAGCTTGGCATCTGAAGACATAAGTTGCAGTCTTACCTTCCAATAATCAGGAAGGCACCGCGAGCATGAACTTCAATCACGCAGCGGCACCAGCGACTTAAGGTTGAAGCTTTTGTCTTGACGTGTAGTCTGTCTACACAGATAACAACAACAAGGTCATCACTATGCGGTTGCCAGTGCGATAGATGAAAAGACGCACCAAAACAAAGATGATCTTGTTGGAGCAGCACGAGGAACGGGAGAGGAATATCGTAGCAGCCACCTAGCTGTATGGGAGTCTTAAATGGGCTATTTTGGTTGTCGCGTCTAAACCGAAGGGTCGGCCTAACCCTCTTGTGTTTGCTAAACCCTCCCGGTTGCTCATTTTACCCGAGTCATGTCCTTCTACTTTTATAAATAAGAGTTGAGAAGATTGGAGCAGCGACCTAGCCGCAGAGGAGTCTCGAATGGGCCATTTTGGTTGTGGTGTCTAAACCTAAGGGTCAGGCCAACCCTCATGCTCGCTAAACTCTCCTAGTTTGTCCATTTACATGAGTTAACTCCTTCTACTTCTCTCCCTAATAATAAAGCACGGATTGAGTCTTCGGGTTCATCGTCGCGGCGTTTTTGCAAATAGACCCTCCTATTTTCTAGAAATTGCACCCGCAGTCCCCTCATAAGTCAGACCCGAACCGGTAAAAGGAGAGAAAAGAAGAAGAAAAAAAGCCCAGCGCCTGTACGAGCACGGGTTCGCTCGATCCGTCCGGGTAGGGCATCGCCTGCAGTCTTCTTCTCCGGCCATCCGTCGTCGGCGACCGTTCTTCCTGCTCCCGTGCCTCTAATTTGGATTGAGGTTGCGGTGGTAGTGGTTCAGCGGTGGCTGGGGAGGAGGCGGTGGGAGCAGCAGCGGCGGGTGGTGGGAGCAGCGGCGGCGGGTGGTGTGGTCCAGCACCGGGTGGAGGGGCTGTGGCGCGGTGATGGGAAGCAACATGTCTGTGTCCATGGCCGGACCACCACGGACAGGGGTTTCTTCCCAGATTGTTGATGAATATACTTGGGGATTCATGATTCTTGCATCCCTTGATGTGACGCGAGATTCGTTGGGATTTTGGGAGAGGGAGATGAGGTGCGATTTGGGGGGATCACGCCTCGGATTGTTGGGGTCGCCGGGGATGCGGTGATTGAAGGAGAAGACAGTGGAGGGAGAGATGGAGGAAGGGAGGAGGAGGGGGAGGCTGCAGCTGTGAGGTTGCGATGGGAGACGTTGGGGATGCCCACTGGACGTTGGTGTCCTTCTCAACACAAATCCATGGAGTGCCCAACCCGGATTTCAAAGGGACTTGGCTGGTTCAATACTGCCAATTCCTTGGGTGCTAATTTTGAGTTGGTAAGAACCCTTGATTGATGCAGATCTTAATTTTGTTCTATGTGGCTGCAGGTTTATAATTTGGGTAGAGCAAATTGTTTTTGGTTGGCAAAGACTGCACTCAGATGGACATCCCTATGCTCCTTATATCTTGCTGGTTACCACTATTGTTGATTATTTCTCTTTTTGTTCTTTTCTGTTATCTAATAGGGAGTAATAGATATTCTCTTACTACATGTACATCTAAAGGACAAAGTAGCATGCCATCCCTGATTAAACATGGGTTTTATTTGAGATATAACGTTTCTAGCTCAATATTGTTTCATACAATTAATCATTATTTCAGTTTGAGAGATTAAACCCAAATTAGTTTATGCATTGAATTGGAAATATCACAACTGCATATTAATTGTATGCTTAAATTCCACAGTAGAGACTTTGCCACAGATGACACTATATGTGGACGCCACATCCTTTCTTCTGCACGCAACGCACGACATTCCGGTAAGCCCTGTACCGTTGAGATGCTTGACGAGGTGTGCAACTGTAGTTTAGTAACTTTGTGTGTTCGATTTGAGCGTTGCAGGTTCGTTTCTGCGTGCTTCTCAGTATTGCACATGAGGTACCCTGAGGGGTGGTGACCCAGAACTTGCTGGCGCGGCGCAAGAGCCGGTTCCTGTGATCAGGATGCTGGAGGCTCTTGGGTCACAGCCCACATGTCTGCAGGAGGTAAGTTTTATAGCCTCATTCTGTTAGTAGATATTCTTGGTGTACAGATACTATTCAGACTGTATCTTTGGTGAAACTTGTAGATATGCTACTTGGCCCTACTATAGTATTACTCTTGTACCGTTCATGCATTAGGTTTTGTGAAGTTTCAGCTCAACCCTATGTCATGTTCTTTGTTAGTATTTCCTTACATATTATCTGCATCATCCTCTAAGAAAAACATATTATGTGTGGGCTCTCCTTTTGGTGTCTAAAAAATTCATTATATTGTCCTTTTCGGCCAAAACATTGAGGATCTCCGCCAAATCATTATGTTGTCCTTTTCTCAAGGATCGGTGGCAAAATCTGTGAGCGATGTTCTCTCATCGGTCGATGGAGCTCAGGCGGGCTTCTAGATTGAGATCGAGTGAGAGGGGGTTGACGAGGAGAGAGTAGTCAGGGCGGCGCGGCGGTGACTTGGAGCACAATCCAGCGATGACGGCCGTTCGGGAGCAGGAGCGCGACGGCGGCTGTTCGGGAGCAGGAGTGAGATAGCAGCTGGGCATCGCGGGGTTCAGTGGTTGAAGAGGATAAGGGGGACGACAGCTGCACTCGGCACCGTGGGACACCCGACGTGGTTGGAGAGGATAAGGTTGATGGCTGATTTCTTTGTTCGCCTTTGTTGTGGTCAATGGTTTCGCATCCTTCTCGATCCCTTGCCATGAGGCAATAAATCGCAAAAGAGCAGACACCACCCTATGTTCCACCTTCCATGTACATGT